AGAAGGAGAGATAGGAGGAAGAGGGGGAGGAGGAGGGGGAGGAGGAGGGGGAGGGGAGTCGAGGAGGAGGACGAGGGGAGGTGGAGAGAGAGGGAGGGGAGGACGAGGGAGGAGGGGGAGGAGGAAGAGGAGTTTGAAGAATGAGGGAAGGAGGAGGTGAAGGAGGAGGCGGAGGAGCGGAGAAGAAGTAGGAGGGAGGATGAGGAGATGCGGAGGAGGAAGGAGGGGTATACCTTCCGCTCAGTACCCTTACCTCCTCCTCCTCAAGAACTGCACTCTAATTCGGCGTTACAGGGTGTTGTAAACGGCTTTCATTTTTCGTACCCACCAAAATGCGGGAACGGTTTTGATATGGACGAATCGAAAGAAATTTATACTTGGTTTTAGTCATAAAGGTGTACGAAAACGAAACTCTTATTTCTTTGCTTAGCCAGAACCTACGTTGTGACCAGTGTTTTAGACGTTACTGAAAAAGAGTAACAAAACACGTTAGTCGTACCTTGCAAAATAATGTTAAAGCGTTACCGCCCTACGTTGCCACAATATAAAAGAAACGTTTTACCGTTACCGATGAACAGGAACGCACGTTACTTTTGCGTGACTTTGTTTAAATATGAATTAATACGTTTCACTGTTTTGAGGTTACAGACCATCTAAGCGCCATGTTTCAAGAAATATTATGTTCATGCCGGAACTGAACATAATTACCTTATCTTCTTTTACGGTTTCACTTAAATACTCACGAAAAAAAAAGCAAACAAAAAAGTGCGACACTTAAACATTAGATAACTTGGGGCCAAGAAACACACAAAAAAATATTGAAATGTAATTTGTTGAGTCTTGGGCACAAAAAGTAACCTGTAACGTAAATACGTTACATGTTACTCGAAAATGTAGCGAAAGTTCGTTACCCGTTACTGTTTTTAAAATGGAACGAGTGCGTACCTTACTTGTTTACCGAGAAAACGTAACGCAATGCCGGTAACGCCGTTACTTGTAACGCGTTACCGCCAGCACCGTGTCAGCACCTCAGAAATCCCAGTCTTTCGCTCGTAAACGCACGAAAACTAATTTTAAAATTAATTAAAATATGTCTTTCTTAATGCCACCTGGTAGTTTGGAGGCCGATAGAGTTATGACGTTGAACTCCTCTCACCTCAGCGCCACTCACGGAAGTACAGCGCAAACGTATGGACAACTCGGGTTTGAACAGAATCGTGAAGATTGGCGTAGAAATCCATAGTGCTTCCGCCACGCACTTTCAACACCATCGAGACCGCCGTTCATCCTTTATTCAGGAGTATCCCCGGATTGCCACAAAGGTGTAAATGCAGGCGGGTTACAAAAGTTAAACAAAAAACAAAAAAACTTTAGTTGTATAGTACACTTGTTTCTCCGACAGCTTGTTCTACTGTGAGATGGTCTTGACAAAAAAAAAAAAGAAGTCGTGTCCGTATTCGTTCTGGCACGGTATTCTATTTCTGTTATTTTAAACAATAACGGTGCGACTGGAAAGGTAGCATTTTTTTAAATAGAGCGTTTTCGTTAATGTACAGTCTGCAATTAATTATTGCAAATAAAAATTGAGGTGTCAATTTGATTCGTCAGGTTAAGAGCAAGTCCCAATTTAATTATTCTTTAATGTCAGTACAACCATCCGTTTGTCCGTTTCGTTAAAAACAAACCTTGTAAGCACAAGATAGGTAGGAGCTTGATCTGACGATGCAGGGACCTCTGCCGAGCCAACCATACCACCCCCCCCCCCTCCTTCCCAAGTTTCCCATGGTTGCGCTGTGAATAACGCCATCAAATATAATACCCAGTAAATATCTTATATACATAGCTTGCAGGTGTCGCCATTGCTGGGTACTGACGGTTATTTCTGCTTGCTAGTTCCCTCGAGCTCCTACTTCTGCAATGTGAAACTAACACGGTGAACTAAACGCTCACGGTCATGTCGGTATAAAATACCGTCATGGCCGCAAATGACAATACGGGCAAGCTATGTATAGGCCAGTTATGTATAGGCCATAGGGCGTTCAGTCCTCGGATATTACTACTAGGCGAGATTGTCACGCGTAAACGCCACAAAGCGGCAATGATCACCATTACAAGACCCTTGATCGTGCAGAGGCCCTTAACGTCACAAGCGCGATACGCAATGCCCTTCTCGATGGCCGAGTTTGAAGCAGCGAGAGGTAGAGAGCTCGCGGCCACGTCATTTCATTTCCGTACCCCTTTAAGGTGAAACGGAGCCTAAACGCACTAGCTCCCAATTTCGTACTGCCACCACACGCCGTTCTGATTCTAAGCTGGAGGAAAGTGTGAATTGTCATAGTGTCGCGTCGGACAGCGCAATACCTCTCCAACAAAAGCTAACTGCACCGCGACATTTACAAAGGGCGTCAGTAAAAACATACCCTGCAAGGATAATCAAAGCGCACACGTTACTGCTTTTGAAACTGGCAAACACTCTAGCGGCCACCGCACGAAAAACACACGCCGAAAAATGTTTTCATAGATTTTTTTCGGGTATCAACAGTACGAGGCCTAAAAAAGCTGCGAAAACAAGTAGAACTTCAGGATGCCGACGTTTTCAGGATCCGACGCGCGCGTCGGGATCTCTGATTCTATATTTTGCCCTCCATTTGTAGTTCGCAGATAACCCCCCAGATGGCGCTCGCTACTCAACAAACGGTCCTTTTATGAATGTCACGAAGGCTCTGATAGTGTTTCTGAGAAATACAGATTTTACGGGACCACTATCTACGTGTCTGAAAACACTTTTGTGGGATCTTGAACATCCATGCAATTAGCATAATTATTTTTATTACAAACTTCGCTCCAACTTTCCTACTGATCACCATGCTAGTATTAACGCACTCTTATCTCCAGTACTAAGTAGTCAGCCAAAAGCTACGTTCAGGCTCACCTTTCCATTCTTCCTTCATATATCTATATATATATATGTATTTCTATCTATGCAGCCCATATCAATGCCCTGCCGCAAAAGCGAACATGCCAGGGAAATCAATCCTGTTTTAACCAAATGAAAAATAAAAAAAATAAAAATATACGCGAGATACAACAGTATAAAATAAAAAAAAGATACCTCAATTCAAAATGAAATAGAAACACACATATTGCACAGTTCCATAGGGCGTAAGACCTTCCATGAAATACATTTTAAAAAGTTTAATAAAGTATTTTATGAATGACTCTGTTTCTGGTCTAGTTAATCATTCTGCTGTAACTCAAAGATAACCTCACTTAAAGAATACAAGAACCTCACGTATTTCCGTGAGCTGTCAAATGTTTTATCATGATTCATAAACAAGTATTTCGATTTACGCATTGATTGAAAATAGCAGATGAGGCAGTATAGGTACTTCCGGGGCGCATAGTAGGTTTTAATTAGGGTTCCGTGTTTTCGGTATATACGGATAAATACCGATAATCAACCCCGAAGGCGGTTTTTTAATCAATCAACACCGAATTTCAGCTGCGAAAACAAATGGCAGCTTTGCTGAAAGAATATTCTAGCCAGCTTTCTTTTCTCGTTGACCCGGAACACAGCCCCACTAAACTGTCCTTTCTTTTGAAACCATGTTTATTGCCCCGCTCCCTTCCCTCATCTTTTCAGCACAACGGTTTTCAAATCTTTTGTCCTGGCATAGGTTTCCTGGTAGATAGGGGAAAGGAGGAAAGGCGAAGAGGGGCGGGGGAAGGGGGGAGGGCAATAGGGTCCACGGATTGTGTCCTCTTTTCCTGGGCGTGCGCGGAAGGCCAACACCAGTCCACTTCGTAGTCACTGCTCGGACGGGTTTCGCGTGCCCACTAGTATGGATAGAAAGCGGAAAGCGATTGAGGACTACGTCCAAGAGTTTGACGTTTTCGAGGTTTTGTGTGAAGGTGCGAAGAAGCTCCTTGTTTGCAAGTGCTGCCGGCTGAGCATTTCTGATGACCCTCATCATGTCAGTAATCGTCTGAACGAGCATTTGAAATCTTCTTGACATCGACAGTTGAAGAACCCCCGGGCAGAACCAGGTATGTCCTACTCATGTCAAATATATCCACTCGCCATATCTTAATCCAGTTGCGCGAATGACTAACTGGTCACAAGTGTGACCTAAATTTTTAAAGATAGTAATGTATCTTTAACTAATGGATTTTCGTGCTCTTATTCAATTGATCCAGGATCGCCAGCTCAAATGACAGTTGCCCAGTCAATCATCAGGTTTGCGGAAAAACGTAAGAATGGCGAGGACATCGCCACAGCCAGTCTTGTCAAAAGCTTCTTTTGATTTTCTTTCCATCCCCGTTTCAAGCGCGAACGTGGAGCGTGCGATTCTGGACTACGTTTCCTCAGCCGCAAGAACGTGCTCCGACGACTGACAAGTCTCTGACAATGCACATGTAATTTTTTTTTTTTAAATAAGTTTAAGTTTTGATATTATGTTTCTGAAATTTCTGTTATTTCCATATGTATGCGCATTGTGTTACGTGTTTTGTGTGTTCACAATAAACGTGTGTAATCTGAGGAGTGCCGTGGTTTTTCTAGTAATTATGCAATCGCTTTGCAACACCAGCCCCGATGATCATCGATTTGCTTCTAGCGTTGAAATTAAACACCGATTCCAAGAGAAAAAATAAACACCGATATATAACCCCCGAATCTGAAGAAAATTACATACCGAAAACGCGGAAGTCTAGTTATGGCGACAGCAATGCAACGTGTATTTGTGTTGTGCAAAGTTCCCAGCGCGTATAACAATGTCTTAATCTACATTTCCATGTTCTGAGCATGGAATAATTAAGCTATTCTGAAATTGAACTCAGACGTAAGAGATGAGATACACTGCACTTAAAAGTGTACTAAGTAAAACCACTATATACTGCACGAAACTCCTTCCACGGTAATACAACTTCTATGACATCGGTCACTGCGTACATGAGGTGGCACGTTTTGGTGGGATCGACATTTCTGGCAGAAGTTATTCAGCTTTGCGCAGGAGCAGTGTCGTACCCGAGGACGCCATCGGAGGGGCGACTATTGCTAGTTGAAAACTTTTCCCAATACCCCGCCGGGACGTCGTGCAATACCGACGGCCATGGCAATTTTTGGCAAGCCCCTCGGGGCTAACTCTATTCAATACAAAATCAGAATTTGTTCTGTCCACGGGATTAATGTTAGTGTTTGTTTGTGAGGTTTCGTATTTTTCTCCGCAAGGTGATAATTAATTTTATAAGAATGTCTTCACCAAGAAACATCGTGGTGGAGCGAAACTACTTGCTGCAGAGATTTCGGAAAGTTCCGGAAGAACGGAACAACGTCGGTGTGTTTCGGAGCGTTGCCGTAGTGACCAGAAAACATTATTGAGCGTTGAAGCTTTTTATAAAAAAAAATCTAATAAATTTAATAAACAACATTAAAGAAATAAACATTTAAATATGTATCCCTAAATAAACGTTATAAGCTTGTTCAGTTAAATTTGAGATACGGAGAAATAAAATAATGAACAACACGACACAAAATGTTGAGATTTTTTGTGGCTGGTCAAACTGGTTTCGATTTCACTATTTCCATAGTCACGTCGTCACGTGAACAAAACAAAGCGGGAAGGTAGGTGAAACCCATTATAACAAATCGTAACGCTCGTTTTTATCGCATTAATAGATTTACTGCCAAATTTCCCAAACTTGAAGGAAAATGCAGGAAATGGTGTTCCACGCACCGCACACGCACGCTTGCCCCGTATAAAAGATTCGAAGTAAATGCTGTAAACGACTTAATTTTCGCGGGCTAAAATTTTCGCGAATTGGACAAAAGCTGAAAATTTGAAATTGTTCGCGGGGTCTAATTTTCGCGAATCGAGTGTAGCTTCCGTGGAGTTCACTTATTGCCCGAATTGTTCGCGGGACTTAATTTTCGTGAATTGTAGGCCATTCGCGAAATTCACAAAAAGTAGGACCCCGCGAAAATTTAGTCGTTTACAGTAATCAAAATAAAGCGTTGACAAACGCGGGTGCAAGATGCGATTTGTTTTAGGCTCTTGCTTTAGAACAGTTACTACTGCAGACGCCAGCGCGTGCGGCGTGTGGAACACCATTCCCTGAAATCTCCTTGATGCTTGGGTACTTTAGCGATAGGTCTATAGGGAGTGTTCACTGGACGTCATATTTGTGGGTGCTGTTTAGAGCGCATGCTCAGAACGAGCTCACATCAATAGGCTGCTAAGACCGGCACTCTTGATGGTGCGGAATGCACGTTGCAAAAGAACTGGAAGCTTCCCATCAGCACGCACTCAGCATTTGGGCACACAGCTATGGCTGCCAATGAATATTCCCTATAGGGGGTTTTCGTAAATCGTTTCCGCCGTCCCGCAATGCTCTCCGCAACCCGCTATGAAATTCGGCTTTCTTTAGTGAAGGTTAGCGGCGCGCACGCGCAGTAGGCGGCCTTTTCGTTAAGGATAGCTTAGCGGAGGCAGGTATGCTGTTTACCAAAACTGGTGTTCGTTCCAAGCACCGGGAACGTTGCGGTTTACGTTGGCCAAACACAGGTGACGTGCGGAAGGGACGGTGTTGGAAGATCTCCTACATCATGCAATCGAGGATATTCTCTCGTGCTGCGAAGCTCCTGTACTGTATACGCGTAGCATGTTTATAAGAAAGAAACATTGTAGGTCTAGGTATACAGTTGGTAGCAACGAACTTGATAAGTGCACCACCAACGGAGGTACTTGCGTACGTGCGACTATTTTTCGCAGCAGCACAGGCTGCAAAGAAATGGCGGTGACAAACCTTCGCGGACCTAAAGCTATTTGTACTGTACAAATTAACGAGGTTGAAACAAGCAATAACAATGTTACTGCAAGAGATCTGTGTAGATAAGCATGATTGATAATTTGATTGCATACATTGTATCAAAGGCAATAATATGGGCAAGGAACGCCTCCAGTACAGTGACGCTTCATAGCAATATTGGCGCGGCTGGTTCAGAACCACCCTTTGAAAGATTTGGAAGGACCGAAATGGCGATTGTCAGGACATCCGGTATCACTCAACCAGTCACCTTGAGAGCGCTTTGTTGTCTTTGTCTTGGTATCAGTTTGACTCCTGCTAGAAGTCAAGGAAGGCAATTGCGCTACTCTCCCATGATCTAGTGACTTTATTGTAACCGTAGTCCTAATACTAATTTTGTGATAAGATAAATGTTTGTTCAAATTTTTTTCTTATGAATTGTGATTTGCTAGCGAAGTCTAATTTGCCAGCACAATAATGTCAACTTAAGCCATACTTAGGGTGGAAACGCGGCTAGTTAGTGCGTTCTACGAAAATAACTGGAAAATACTTAGGGAAATCAGTTCCGGACACAGTCTAATTACAAATAGTTTGCTCTAAGCGTAAAATATTACAATTGCAAGCGCACAAAAAGTAATAAATTACAACAACTTTGCTCTAAAACTACTCATAATGGAACAGCGCGAATTATTGCAAGGACAGGAGAAGGAACTGGACAGGACGAGCGCTGACTAACAACTGAAAGGTTTATTCTCAGGAAACCACGAAGAAAAACACATAACACGACTCTCTAATCACGATGGAAGTGCGCATGCGCCTCACAAAATTGGGTGCTATCAGTTACACAATGTTACATGCGTCATCCCCGATCTAAAAATTCGACCTCATTGTCCAGCAAAATTAAGGAAGCCTGACTCACGGAGGCTGACCCCTCCTTCTTTATTCTATGAGCTTCAACAATCTCTCGAGCTTTTTGGTCTCGGTGTTTATACAAAACAACGGCTTTTTCCAGTAACGGGGTGCAGGCGCAGTCCCTGCAGTGTAACGCCAAGTGGGAGCTTGCCGTACCTGTTAAAGAACTACGGTGTTCCCGGAGGCGAATGTTGAGGCACCGCCCCGTTTGTCCGATGTATACCTTCCCGCAGGTGAAGGTATACATCCAGTCCAGTTCCTTCTCCTGTCCTTGCAATAATTCGCGCTGTTCCATTATGAATCCATACCAACTCGCCCAGTTATCCTGTTTACTAAGTCTAAAACTACGTAAGTCACAAGTGCACAAAAGGTAATTCATTGCAGTAATGCATTACTTGCAAAAAAATACTTCACTCACTTCGCGATTACTTTGCTTAGGGCCGGTTGCACCAACGCCGCTTAGCGCAAAGCGGAGCTTAGCCGGGAACCTAAGCTAAGTTTCGGTTTCGTTCGGTTGCACCAAAATCACTTATCGCTAAACCTAGCACTAAACTACGCTTAACTTAAGCGCTCAACATTGGGCGCTTTGCTTTTGGTTATTTCTTAATCCTGCATTTAAAACATGGCGGCTGGTTTGTCGCGGTCGACGCGGTGGACGACATTGGTTGTGCAAAGTGCTTTAGGCTACATCAGCGTGAAAGTTTCGACAGAATGACCTTCGATTGTGACAAGGATGCAAAATATTGTCGCGTGAAGTGTTTATCGACCCCTGTTTTCAAGTCGGCTCTCCACTCTCAGGGCGTGTTAGCCCTAACCGAGATACGTACGGAGCTGTGGGGCTCACGTCTGTCTTCCCGTTGGTTCTTCTGTCAACGAGCTTATTCGTATGTACTTACTAATTTTCGCATAACCGTAACGTATTGTTATTACCTTGTTTATTTACACTTGCAGCGCGTATCCTTCAATTCGATCAGCGCGTTGAATAGTGGCAGTACATGATCTCGGCGATCAGCTGATTGTCGACACCTCTGCCGTTCGCATTAGATTGCGGCGCTTTTAAGTAATAAAACAACGAAAATTCAATTTCTTTCGTTTTCTGAGTTTTGAGACAATCTTCATTGAATTTTCCTAATCTCGCGAGTAGGATCTTGGCTTCAGAAAACTGTGTCGTTCCATAACCGTAACTTTTTTGGTTATCGCGATTTTTTAGGAATATTTTGCTTTATATCTTTCATTCGTGGCGACGACAAATCGTAACGACTACTATGCTAGATTCGTTCATTGCTGTATCGGGTAGGCTGGGGCAGGCGATGCGAAGAGACGACCGTTCTTATCGGCACAATGTAATGTACTAGTGGGAGTTTTTTTTTTTTTTTTTTTTCTTCATCTGAACTTGACAGTGTGAAACTGAAGTCCGTTTGAGGCTGCAGCGGATGTTCAACGACGGTACAGTGCAGTTCTGTCACCTTGCTGATAGCAACGAGTACCGTCGATGCAAGGTCTCGTGACCTGACCTCTCGACGACTTCTCCTCGACGACTTCCGGGCATTTTCGCAGCTGCCGTGACGAGTTCGTCACTGTTTTGAACTTCATCGGTCTCAGGCTTGACTTGATTTTAGTAGTCATCTTACCTGCCTACTTATATCGATGATGTTTTTTCTTCAGCGATGTAGCGAGTAGAGTGTCCTCGCGTTCGGTGAGATTTGGGGCCCCCGATGGCTCCTTCACCTCAAAATGTGAGCACGAAAACTACTACCACTGTCAAAATATCCTGTTATCAACCGATATTAAACACACAATCACAGATGTAAAGAGAATTCGTGTTTATTTGAAGCTTTGACTTCTGTTATTGAATGTTAAACGAAAAAATGATTGAATTTGGAGACCTTTAATTTGTTACTCACCGAAGAAATACAGCGAAAAGCAGACGCCGTCAACTACTACGGCAGTTTTTTTTTTTTGTTTACATCACGTGATTCCTCTCCGCCAATCGTATTCGTCCCTCTGAGCGTTCCCTAGTTCGCTCTGTTTGTCCCTAGAGTCCCTACGCAAATCCGGCGTTTAGCTAGGGGCGCGTCTGTAAAGCCGGCTTAACGTTGGTGCAACCGGAATTTAAACCCGTGCTTACCTGAGCTCGGTTTAGGGCGCTAAGCCGGCTTAGGGAAGTGCCGCTTTGGGTTAAGGTAAGCGGCGTTGGTGCAACCGGCCCTTAGAGAGGTAGACTTGAGTTATGCCTATTTGTCCATCTCTTTCCTGACCACCGAGAATTTCGCAAACGACCTTTTACATTCCTACAGAGTGTGCCCTCGCTTCTGCTACTTCAATGGGAGCTCAGTTCCGAGTAGATATGACGTAGTTTTATTATTTTGCAACACCATCTAAAGATTTGGAGTTATTTTACGGGTTGTACCTTAAAGTAGACGT